GGCTCCCAGCTCTGAGGCAGTGCGGGCGGCTGACCATGTAGCGCCCGGCTCGGACGGAGCCTCCCAGCGTGAACACTTGTGAGGCTCCGCCAGCGCGTGGCGGGAGTCTGGTCCCCAAACCCCCATGAGTTCATCACCGCCGCGCTCCGCTTCGCCCCAGGTACAATAAGGAAGAGGCCTGAGCTCTCGGTGCGCTCACGTTTGTAGTAATTGCACCACTAAGAGTCTCAGTCAATGCGCGTGGACGGCACGGCAAGGGAGAGGAATGTTTCTTGGGGATGGTCTCCCTTTTCAAAGTAGATTTAGAATAAATTCTATGCTGGGCATTTGTTATCAGAGCTGGTCGCTTTTTCTTTATGCTGAAGTCTGTCCTATTTGTTACCTTTTATAGAAACTGAGCCCTGGCTTTGAGAACAGCACCATTCAGAAACAGAGGCACGAACTGCAGCTTTTAATTGCAGAACTGAAGGATCGTGAGAAGGAGCTCAACGACATGGTTGCAGTGCACCAGAGACAGCTTCTGGCCTGGGAAGACGATCGGCAACGAGTACTGACCTTAGCAGAACGGTGCAACATCCTAGAAAGTAAGTGGTGTGCACAGAGCACAAGGCTCTGGTCTCCTAAGTGCATTCAGGTGCTTAGACTCCTGGGTCCCCACCATGTAAGGAGTGATTTTCTTCAGCATTAAATTTAGTTCTGTCCTTTCTGAAATCAAAACACATGCAATAGATGGACCAACAACACTACTGATTTTGAGGGGAATTTAGTAATCAAATAGCACTTTCTCTTCTGATTTTTAAGTTGTTTCTGTGGACTAATGAAATACATATCGGGGAAGAGAGCTCTTTGCAAACATAGTGGTGCACAGCAGTGTCTCTGCCCAGAAGTTCTGCCATGCAGTTTTGACACTGTCCACAAGCAACCCCAGCTCAAAGCTCTGAATAGTCTTGTTTGACAGCAGTACTCAAAAGATAGGTCAGAACAGAATTCATAATCCACCTGACCTGGTAACTATGGAAATATGAAAATGTGCAGTCTATGAGGGGAAATAACCTCAGGTATGTGATCCTACTTCAGCAAATGCATCCTTTGCATCCATTTCTGAATTACATGATTTTAAAACACCAGATTAAAACATTTCTGTCATTTTAAAGATTGTGTAGGCTGTACTGAGCTCACAAATACTTCCTCACTTTTTTTTTAAACAGATGAGCTGCACAAGAGAAATGAAATAATAAAAACACTAACCCAAAGGTTAAAGGTCCTAGAATCCCAGCAGAATGACAGTAAGACAACGCTTGAACATACACAGCAGAAGTTTAAAGAGCTCTCTCAAAAAGCAACAGACACAACTCTTCACTGCCAGGTGCTGGAGGTAGGGTGGAGTGATAATCAAATCTTGCAGTCCATGCATGTGCAGAATGAGAGCAGTGACGTTCATGAATTCCACCAATTCGCAAATATTTCAGATTAAGACTTCTGATCTGTATTTGGCTTCTAATGCTATAACACCAGATTAAGGCATAGCTCTGATTTTCATTAAAAAAGGAAAAAAAAAATCCCAAACTTAGATTTGGAGTTTGCTGTTTATTTGCTTAGTTTGGAGGACACTGCTCAGCACTGACTTGTTTCCAAGATGTGAGGCATTCAGCCTGTAAAAGGCACTGTTGCCTCTTGAAACTGCCACTGAGTTAGGAAGTTCAGAAAGTTTTGTTTACAGCTTAGGTTACTGTTTCCAATTGTAACATCTTGTAACCGGTTTAAGGATATGAAAATAATATCTGTTTAACCATTTCATTTTTTTTAATCAATTTGGCAATAATGTTTTTACTGGGATATTTTTTCTCCTGTATAGAGTACAATACGGCAGTATGCCTCACTTTCATGTATCTTATCAGTTTAAATTAAGTAGGCTTAATTGAGACCCTTGATGGCAAGCAAGTTTGATTGCAACGGATTGGGGAATAAGACTGATTTTTATTCTCCCTTCTCAAAATCCCTACAGAATTTCACAGTCCCATTCTTAACATTTAAACAAAATTATGAATATGTTTACTGGAAAGAGAGTATCTTTCAATTACTGAGTAGTAATTGACACTTATTTTTGTTCACTAGGAGAAAAATCAAAATCTCAACTGCTCCGTGTTGGAACTGTCTGCTAAAATAGGCCAGCTGCAAGCCAGGGAGCAGGAGCTTCTTACTATGCTCAAGTTGAAGGTAACATCTGTTATCTTTACCAGGCACTAAATGTGGTCAAATTGCAGTAAAGTTATTAGTGACTACACTGCAGTGCTTCTGTTACTGTTAGTCACTTGAATGTTTTGTTCTTAAACTTGAGAAGGGAAAAGTGGTCAACAAGCAGGAAACATTTACTTTCATAAATATGTTTGTTTCCTGCCTCTAATTTTTCTTTTCCCTAGAGCTTGAATAAAAGCTGTGAAGTACCTATAACTACTGCAGTGCTGTTTTTTTGTCAGGATCCTTGACATGAAGATAAAACAGTAATGAAGAATGTGCTTTTATGTCCTATTTCAGGACAAGGATATACTTGAAGCAACTGATCACATTACTGAATTTACATCAAAATTCAAACAGTTGGAGAGTGCACTGCGTGCTGCTAAGTCAGAGGAATTCAGTATCAACAAAGAAAAGCAGGACTTCAAACTGAGACTGAAGGAACTGCTGCTTGAAACAAATAAGCTGAAAGGTAAATGTTTATACCAGCTACTGAATTCAGTATAAATCAGTGCACTTCCTTGTGATTCTGCATTGTATTTTGCTTTAAAGATGACCTCTGTGAAAAGATGAAGGAAAATAATGACCAGCGGGAAGAAATCATGAACCTCAAAGAAGAGAATGGCTACTTGAAGAATGAGCTTGCGCTTAGTGGTAAGTGAGGACATTTGGCTTTCGTGCCTGGTGGGGACTTTCAGACAGCCCTCCCTTAACGTCTAGGAAGGACACAGCTTCTTATCGACCTGTACTGCAGTTCTAATCAAGGTATATGTCTTTAAGCATCATTCTTCTATGAAAGCAATATTTTATTAGTCAACATTGTGCTTTTCTGTGATAAAACATGAAGGAGTAAAACTACCCAGGGCATTCTCTCTTGGAAATTTTGGGGATTGTCTTGTCTGCTATGATATTAAGATGATAAATAAGGATGACTTTTCTTCTTTTGACACAAGCTGTGTAGAAAAGCTGGATCTTGAAAAGAAACCACTCACAAAACAGGTTAGGTCCTGTAAAATTACCACCTCGTTCACTCCCTCCTGTGGTCAGCAAGGAGTCATTTCCACGGAAGAAGTATGTTTTACAACTGACTTTGTCTGTTGCTTTTCCCTAACTGTTATACTTGGTTTAGACTGTTTTAATAGGCAAGACTTGAAAAACTGTGACCTGCTCTCTGTTGATATTTGCACTTTGTTTTTGAGTAGAGAGAGAAGTGTTTATTGTACCTCAGTGGGTAAGAAAGGCCACTTGTTGCTGCAGCATTCTTACAGGCAAGTGAGATGCCTTGAAAAATTAGATGACCAAAGATATCCCATGCTGTGAGACAGATTATTTTCCTGTCCCTTTTTTCCTCCAATTATTTTTGCCAAATATTGATCTCATGAATGTTAAAAATAATAGGAAGCATTCTCTAGCCCTTCCTGGTACAGACATGAAATAGAACTAATTGCTGTCATTTCCTTTCCATGAAAGAATATCAAAAATAAATCAGTCAATGGGTAAAATATTGCCACGACTAAAATCCTAGGAAAATACTCGTTCTGTTTAGTTGTCTCTTGATATTAATGCTCTTTTTGTTATTTGGAAGGGGGGGGAAAGATCCTGCTAATCTTAAAAAATGTTTTTGTTTTGTTTATGTATTTGCTTCTGTTACTATTGACAGATGCATGTACAAAGGTACTTGGTGTATATCTATTCAAGTAAAGTAATTTGAAAACTGTGTGTTTTGAAACAGTTGAGAAAGCAAATAGAAAGGACCAACTTCTTCAGTTTGCCAAATCTAAACAAGTACGGACTGATACAGAACTATCAAGTTTGCGGCAGGTACAGTGCTAATTATGAGATTATGAAGGAATTTTGCAGGAATATTAGATCTGTATAGAACAGTATAAAAGTTGTAAGTAGCTGTTCTTTCATTAGAAAAAAAATCAAATTTTCTCTTGCCTTGCTGATACCACTATGGAATGCTTTTTTTTGGGAGGGTTGTTATTGTTGTTAAAATTAAAAATCCATTATATAAATCCTTATATTTACTTTTGCTTTTACCTTTAGAGTCATAATTTCATTTACTCAGTGCTGCAATGAGTAAATATCTCCCTCACAGCCGTAAGTGGGGCGCCCTATCTAGATGAACAGTTCATCAGGGCATGTTTATAAGCAGAAGGTGCCAGGCTCCAAGAAGTCACATGAAAGGCAGGGGGGATGTGAGTGCCCAGCCTCACACACATGCCCAAGGGGAACTCAGGCAACCTGGAGAGGCACAGGCTGCTGCAAGAACTGCTTCAAACAAGCCTTAAAACCTGTGCTCTTGCTTGTAGTTTTTTGATGTCCCCAAAGCTCTTTTTTTTTTTTTTTAACTCCTAATAGTTAATCAATGTTAGCTTTTGCATTATCTCTAGAAATTTGTATAGTGCTAAACAACATAATAACAAAATATTATCGTTACTTGATACTTAATATATTGTATTTATAGTACAAAGTGGTTTGATTTCAAAAGACCACAGCAGTCTTCTCACAGAAATAATTTATATTGTCCTTACCCACAGAACATGGCAAAATATACTAAGCTTTGCTAAATACATGCTGAGATGACCCTTTTGGATTTGGCAGGATTTGGCTGAAGTTTCACTATAGATACTAGCCTAAAAAGATATTTTGAGGATATTTTTGGATTAAAAAGTAGTGTGGTGACATTTTAACCTTTTTCTTGTACTGTAGACTCTCATTAATGCCTGTGTCTATTTTTAAGCAGATTTATGTAAAACAGCAACGTGACTTGCAATTTCTTCATTTCAACTTGGAGAGTTCACAGGAATTAAGGCAAAAGCATGAAAAGAAGACACATGAAATACGGTAAAGTAACCTACTTTTTATACTAGCTTACTTTCTGAGGACAGGCTTTTTACTGTTTAACTGCAGTTAGCATTCTGAAACAGATGTGTGCTGTGTCAAGAATTTGCTAGGCTTAACCACAAATATCCAATGCAATTCTCAGATACCTGCTTTATGGGGTCAGAAGTCACCATGAATATCACTCATAAAGTACTGTATACAAGCCAGACAGTTCATGCTGTTTTTAAAAATGCCTGGTGTGCTCATAGGAACATTAGTCTGGCTTGCTACTTCTTTTGTTTAAAATTCAAAGTTTATTTTGCTTTCAAATTAGGAAATTGGTGCATGCCCTAGGGGTTCAGACAGAATTACTACACTGTATAAAATATGACAGGACTCTGAGTGATTCTGCAAAGTAACCTACAGTCAAATCTGGGCAGACTTCTGTAGGGTTCTGGCAGGGTATGGCTGTCTGCTGGTATATAAACTATTGCCAAACTGTAGTTACAGGTTATGTTTAATGTATGGCTTATGCTGAGCACATATATAGCATATACTATAATTATATATATGCTGAGCTATATATGCTCTTTAAATGTAGTTTTTTTGATGGTTCTTTATCATGCCATTGTAGCACAGGTATGGCATTCCCTGCCCCTGAAAGTAACAGCGAAGCACAGACTATTAGGAGGAAGGGCACCGTGTGCGAGGAAGGTGGAACTGCACAGGCTCAGCAGTGTAGGCTAAAAACCATCTCTGAGCTGGGTGAAGCAGAGAACAGACTGTTACTGAATGCTTCAGACTTGGAGAAAGCCACCTCAGCACACTTAAATCGGTGTCAAAAAGTTGTGAAAGGCTTGGCTGTCCTCGTGGAAGAGGAGGAACAGCAGGATGTTGCATCAAGCTCTGATGAGCCAGGCAGCAAAGTATTTTGTGGGACAAACAACACAAGGCCTTTGAGAAATTGGGAAATTTCCGAGAATGGATTGGAAAGTGGAGACCATCAAACCTTTGAGTCGGCCTTACCTGTATGTGAGCATTGGCCTAACTTCAATTCTTGTGTAGATTCACAAAGTACTTCCATCCAGGACACTATCAAATCTGACAAATCTGATTATGAAGATAAAAACTGGGAAGAGAGAAATGGAATTTTATGCAGCTCAAAAAGCAGAGACACACTTAATGTAATTCACAAGCCTGAATCTGATTCCTGTAGTAATAACTTCATCATAAAAAAAGCTGCATGGTGGAAGCCTGTAACAGATCTGGAATGGATGAAGATTTTCAAACCCATAAAAGGAAGTGGAAATACATGGCACAGAAAACCTTGCAACTGTCTCAAGACTGCAGAGGAGAAAAAGTGTGCCAGCCCCATAAGGTTATGTACTCATTACATTTAAGAAGTAGACTGGTGCAAGCTATAATTATGTAGAAACTTGGTGGACAAGCTATAAATAATTTGCATTATCTCGAGTGATGACGAAAGTAACTTCTGTTTTAAAATTAGACTACCAAATTGAAAAGCAGTAAATTTAAAATAAGTTAAAATATCTTTAAGGTATCATTATTGTTATGCATTTATTTTTTACATCTTTTACCCACAAAAACTGTCAGGGTCGGGAAAGCTGCACTACTGCACAACTTGCCAAATAAACCCATGAAGGAGGAAAAGTACAGATTTTAAAAATGAGGGCCATGTAGTTGGAGATGAGCAGAATGAGTTTTCTAATACTGGAAAGAGTCATAAAAATACTCACATCTCAGTGGTTTTCAGACGTCTCCAGGTTATAAATGCCACCTCACATTTATAGAAGCTGTTTGTAAGCCTGCACAAGCAAGGACATTCAAAGCTGTGACTGTTTCTGTGCGTTTATCATACTGGTTCATTTTCTGTATTTCCTTTTTTTTTTTTTTTAAAAAAAAAAGGCTTACAGGTCAATAACCAACTGTTTTCTAGAAGGATTTCTGAAGTTTTTACAGAGATTTCATAGTTGCCTTTTAGACAGGAGGAGAAAAAGGGGAGTAGTTCTTCAGCTGGTGCAGCTTGATCACTGCAAATGAACAGCTGTTTAAACCTAAGAATTTTACTAGAGAGCCTGGCCCAACATTCAAACAGTTTAACATTGAGAAGTGTCCGATGTACCAAGCCTTCTGTTCTATATTGTTTTTTGAGACAATGACAAAAAAAAAGAAATTACAGAAATTGCTAGTGCAAAGAGACAGATATATTCAGAAAAAAAATGTCAATGGGCAGCCAGTGACAAAAGAGGTGCTGTCTTGGCACACGCCCACACACCGTAGCTGAGCTGCTCGCTGCGTGTGGACTGTGTCTAGTTTCGGTTGTTAAATCAGCAAGAAAGTCTCTATCCTTTCCCCTTAGGTCTGCCCTGATCTTATCTGCTGCCCCAGCAGGTTTTCTCAATATCCACATTTGTTCCTAAGAGCTCTGTTACTTGGAGAGAACCCTTCAACTGTCTGCTGCCTCATCTGCCACTGAATACATTCCCTCCCCTTAAATGGGGGGAAAATTTAGTATTGCAGTCATCAGCATGGACTTATTGTTTAGGCATTAATGGCAGCGTGACATTCCTCCTAGGACTTGAATGTGGATCCTCCAGTTTTCCACTGCTGGCTTCCTAGTGCTGATGATGTATTTCATGTGTAGGGGAGGGTGCTGGCACCTCCCTGTCAACCCAGCAAATATTTTTGACATGAGTTCTTGAATTCTGGAACAGTTAACAAGGAGGCTCTTAACTGAGTGAAATGCCTTATCTAACTGCAAGAGGGATTGTGAAATACAGGAATCATTTTTTTGGGCTCTGACTTCACTTCGGTTGGAGAAATACTGCTGGCTGTGGATGCTAATGCAGGTTCCCCTTTTAAATTTGGAGTCTCAGCAGAGTTATTTGGTCTGTGTGCTCATACTGGCCCATTCCACCTGGTCCTTAAAGCAGATCAGGGCCTCAAAATCAA